TGTTTTAGGAGGTTAAAAACCCCCGTAAATTGTTAATAACATGTAAAAAATATAACACCAAATTTAGGGGTAGCAAAACGGGTCGTAGCCCGCCGAGCCAGCCTGTGCACCCGCTAAAAATGGCGGATCGGGTTGGGATTTTGGACTCGCCGCCCACCAAAACCCACTCTGCTAAAGAGCGTCATCCATCAACGCCCGCTCCCGCAAAAACCCTCCGCATGCCAAAACCCGCCGCGCCTATTCATTCAACTTGTCCTACCTTAAGTCTGCCTTTTTTTAGTTAATTCTAATAGGTCCAATTTTCTACATTTATTTGTAAATATATGCAATTTTTTTTAAATATATTTTATTAAAAAGATGCTTTATAAAAAATTATTCTAAAAAATAAGTGAAAAATCTAATTGAAATATAAAAAAAGCTTTTTAATATATTAAAAAAATGAAAAATAAATAAATATAAAAGGAAACAGGCAAGCTCGCCGTCCGCCAACCTGCTACTTTGACGGGCCGAGCTAGATTTTTATGTCCATTTCCACTTGACGGACTTTCCCGTCCGACTCTTTTTTTAGAGGGCATAAGACGGGGTGGGCGGCCCATTTTTTCACCCCTAACCACATTGATATCACATTAATCAACAAATCTTTACAAAAACAGAGTAACCACCCACACATCAACAGAACGTAAAATAACAAAACCCAAAAATCTGAAAAATCAACAACTAACTAGCACAAATTTGAATAATATTGCTTCTAACAATTGTCAGCATCAAGATCCTCATATACATAAACAAATCCAATCATAACAAGCCTCTTGAAGGTCTCTTCAATGTCTAACTAAGTGATGACATAGTGCATTATTTTGTTATCCATTTTCATAGCTCAACTATTCAGGTGGTACACATAGTGCATTATTTTGTTATCCATTGCATGCTACTGAATACAATTCCAAAAAAACTGACACATAATACATGGAGAACTTGTTGGAGTATGTTTGTCTATCCGGTCAATTCACCTTTTCAAAAGGAGTTTGATTTTCAACTGTATGCAGAATTTTACTCTTGTATTGTGCCATTTTAATCGATTATTTGTCGAAGCATCTTCACTTATTTGTACCCTCGTCTCCTCAATGAAATGATGAACTTGTATGTTTGTCAAGATGTTCATAAATAGTAGAACAAACTTTAAACCCGTGAATAATTCACAATACAAAAACTATAACAATAACAACGCATTTGAAAAAACTCAACAAAAGTAATAAAGTATAATTTCCTATCCACTTTCAAAAATTCTCTTTCTTAAATATTCTGTAGTTTTCTCCAATAAAAATGCAACAAAATTTCCATCACTTTAGTTTTCAATAAAGATGCAGCAATTTCACTAGCAACATCCAGTAGAAAAATTATTTATTAAAGATGCAACAATTATTCATTAGCAACAGCATGCCTCAATTAAATTATAAAATTATTCATTTCTAATAAACATTAGTGTAATATTCAAGCTATAAAATCAAGAATTGGAATCTATTATGTTTAACATGGTAATCAATAGTAGTAATTGAGAATATAAATTAGTATAATAACTCAAGAATCTAATATTAATTTCATCTTTCAAGAAATGATTATTATACATAAAGCACATTTTGTTCAATAAAATGTTAAAATATTAATTAGTATTTTTAATATTTGTCTAAAAAATAATTATACAGCAAAAACTCTAAATTGCAGTTTCAAAATCAAAATAATATTTGTTTAGAGAGAGATGAAATACTTTACAACGTTTGTTAACAGGACCATGTTCCTCTTCTTCTCATTCTCTACAAATCTTCATTTAACTGCAACAAAACCAAATTAATCTATCAAATCAAGTTTGGATGAGTGATTAATGAGTTTATTGAAGAGGTGTTCATCTTAAAAACCTCACAAAAAAAAACTATCAAAATGCAAGTGAAAAAATCTGTTCCGTCATTTTGTCAAACATTTTCTATGCATCAAGAAAGAAGCCATTAAGGGAGATGGGTTCGTGAGAAAAGTTGGGGACTGGAGTGATGGAAGAGTGATGGTGAAAATAAGAGGTATTTACAGCGTGATAGTTGAAAATCAAAAGTTTTCGTTGAGAGAAAGAAGGAGAAAAGAGAAACAGAGAAATGAGAAAGAGATATATGTGTGGCGGCTAAGGTTTTTGTTGAAAGAGAGAAGAAAATTTCTTCATATATTATAAAAACAATTGAAAACAATTCCAAGTCAGCTAAATTAATGTCAGCTAGACTGCCATGTCTTTTAAACTTAACTGATTTTAATAAAATTTAATGGAAAGGACCAACGTGACTAACAAAACTTGATTTAAGGGACTTAAAATGAACGTTTATTAAATAAAGGACGAAAATGAAACCTAAAATTAAGTTAAAGGACCAAAGGATGCATTAAGCCTTGAATATTTAGGAGATGATCCAGAAAAGACACATGAACAATGTGACTCAACTAATGGGGATCATGTCAAGTTCTCTTTCTTGAGCGACCTATATGGCGAGCACTTAGGTGTGGAAGCATCTTCCGAGATCGAGGGCAATGAACTCTTTGTTCAGTACCACTGCGAGTGTGCTTTGAGGTGTTACTTCTTGTTCATGGTTGGCACGTCCATATTTATGGACATAAGTGCTACCTACGTTGATGTGGCACACCTCCAGTACTGCATGCTTTTAGCTGAATGAAGCTTCTAAGTGGAGGACGAGGCAGGTGACAAACTCTTGTACACTGTTCACGGTACCTTTCATTCAAACTATTAAATTTTATTTAGTAGCTAATAATTTGTTCTTACATAGATCTTATTTGTTCTTCAGAGATGGATCATTTCTCACTTCCATCACATTCATGGTTTCGGTTATGCTCTGGATTATAGTGAGGACATGCAGAGGACTTCCAGGTATATCCTCCACAGAGGGAATCATGTTGTGTCGCCGTTTCAGGTGTATCTTGATCAGACTGTTCATGATGACATCATCTGAACGCCGTTTGATGATCACAAGGAGATTGTCCCCTTCGATCCCATATCATTATACTCAGGGTGAATGGCATGTGGGACTAACACTATGGTCAGATATCTTCCAGAGCAATGCATCTGATAATTTGGCTATGTGCAGACCATACCCAAATCTTCCTTTCAGGCTGCTTCCGACACCATTGTCTGTCGGGAGCTCGATGACCCAGGATTTGGAGAATCATATGGTGTCAGAGGAGTGTCGGATAATATGGGCATCCAGCAGTTGACATTGTATAGAGGGATATGTGACATGGTTCTACATGGTGTCACACCCTATTATGACACTGGATGCTCTTGGACGTCCACCTATGCCAGCTCATGAGGAGATCTTGGAGAACCAGCAGACCCATGATGACCATGTCACTGATGTCTTGTCGATCTGTCAGCGGATACATTTTATTGGACAAGAGGCTTTGAATTTAGGGATCATTGAGAGGGGCGGTCCCAAAGTGGTGGCCATCATAGAGAGCATGGTTAGAAATGCATCGAGTTTCAAGGGACAGAGGAGGGGTCAGAGGGTTAGGATTAGGCATACGCAATAGGCTGTGCCTTTTTTATATTTCTCGATGTAATCATTTTACATTTCGTACTTTCTAAACAATTTATGTATTAATTTCCGGTATTTCTAAATGATTTTTGTTTGCATCATTTTTTATTTTCGTTATTTCAGTTTTTATATTATTTAAACGAATTACGTATCAAATCGTTGTGTTTAAAACTATGTCATAAACACATTCTGTTCAGGATTTCAGATATTCATATCCGTAAAATTTATCTACTGCTTTTGAATATGCATCCGAAAATACCACTGAATATTTAAATTCAATGTTTAAATAATTATAACGTGTAAACAAAGAATTTTCATATATATATATATCCAAAACACTTTAAAAATTGATTTAGAAATTCGTTCGAACATGCATATCCGAAAGATATTTTGAGATTTTCAAAAGTTTTTTTCACCTATATAAAAATATACTAAAGAACTTCCATTCAAAATCAATTCCTACTAAAAATTCATTCTTCCATCACCTCTACGATTTGAATATTTTTTTGAAAATTTTATTATATCAAATGTTTTTTAAACGCACTATGCGAAAATACAATGCTCTCAAGTTCTAGAGATGAATCCGGATGCACTAAATGTTTGTATCCAGATGCACCAGATGCTTATTGCAGAGTTATTTATGCAGAGTCATTTTTTGTCCAACACAATCTAGCATTCAGAAAATATATTTAGGAATGTGTGGGAACTTTTCCCAAGTCCTTTTTAAAAGAAAAAGACTTTGAACCAATAGAATAATATTTTCAAAGTAGTGGGGATTGCTTTGTTGTCACGCATGGAAGCATCAATTCTTAGTTATTATTCTACACAAAGTAGTACTATTAATTTTTTGAACACAACCATATTTTTGTCACTTCATAATATTGCTACCAACATCCATTAGGACAGTAGGATGCAACTAACACTTGTACAGTACCTTTTTTCTAATGAACCCATGTGCTCTTTTTTTTTTTTGGGTCTAATATAGGAACAGATAGATTCTAGCATAGAAGTTTCAACACATAACTATTCGAGCTTACTAGTTTCCCCAAATGCATAGCCACATATAACGGATGCATTACTTAGCACTAAAATCCATGATTTACAATTACATTGGACTTTGTTCAAACATAAAAAATCATACCTAGAAACAATGCACACCAAGTTTATTGGTCAAAGTTAACTTCATCACCACAATGTTCAACTTGAGAGTTACTAGTACTAGTATATATTATATGTTTGAAATCCATTATAGAAAGAAAAAAAAAAAACAATTTTCTAGTTGAGAAATAACTAGGAAGAAATACACTCAAACCATGTAAACTTTGTAATAAAAAGAGAAAAAAAAGAAAGAATATATACTTACAAAGTATAGAAGAGAAGAATGTAGTTATTTTAGTGCGAATAATAATGTGTTCATATTCATGGACATCTCACATTTCTTCCGGGACCTCCATAATAAAAGTAAGTACCCCAAACATTGTTTCTTCCTTCTTTAATATCATAGCAATTTGAATGATCAGATAATTGGTGAATATTTGATAAAGGAAGCAAGTTATTATCCCAATCAACTACTTGTAAGTTTCTAAAATAAGCTGCTTTTCTAAAACCTTCTCCTGAAAAATGTCCACTTCCCATTTGAGTTCCGGTGTGGTACCCTCTTGACCGCGAGTTCACGATTTCTCCTCCAAATTGTACCATGCTTGCATGATTTCTCAAATGACTAAATATGTTTGCTGGCCAATATCCAACTAGTAGACCTGATCCAAATTCAAGCCACCAATGTCCATGCTTTGGATCCTATATATATACAACAAAAAAGTACATTAAGTATATGTTCTAGTGTAACATAATGTGCTAAGGATATCGGTGACTGTTAGATTAAGATCAGACCGTTTAAATTTATCAAAATCTATATATTTTATAAACCAATTGATCTAAAGCTATTGGTTGGTAATGCATTGACGGTGTAAATGCAGACCTATCCTACTGCACGAAATTAGTTTTCGTGTCCTAACTTCACTAATGTGCATGATTGGACTCAACTATAAAGTGTAGAGACTATTGGACTCTACTACATAATGTCACATTAACATGTTTATATTTTTAATAACTATAGTAATGGAATAATTTGATAGAGTGAGAAATGGAGAAGAGTAATTTTTTAATAACAAGATTAGTGTTCTCTTATCGGTTAATTAATGCTATTTTAGGATGAAAGTATAGAATAGAAAAAGTAAAGAAGGTATCTTTGAAGCAAGTTACGGAAAAACCAATGTTAAAAAGCATGAGTTAACCGTGAAATATTGCTTTAATAAAGGGAGAAAAAAAATAAAGATAGGAACATAGCTACCCCAATGAGGGACACTCATGGAAAAAAGCCAGGGAATCTTCCATTTGAATAACAATAACCTAAAGAAAATTTCAAAAGAAGAATGGAGAATAAATAAAGTAAACGAAATTATTGCTTCACTTGGACACTAAGTTTTCTATCCTACATTGCCATATCCCTGCCTAACTTTCTTATGTCAAGTTAAACTAGTTGTGAAATATAGTAAAAAATTAGTTTGAAAATAAAAAAAAAAGCTCAACAAAACACCTTAAAAAGGATTGGGAAATGTAGCAACCACACTAGTAAATGAATGTGTGTTTAGTGTCCAACATTTGTGAGTGTCTGACACTGACACGACGTTGAAATACGTAATTACATTCAATTAATTTTATTTTTATAGCATTACTAGTGTTTGAGTATCAGTATCATATTTGATGTCTGAATCTGTGTCTTCAGACACCTGTAACATGTAACAGTGATTCATAACAAGTAAAGAATTCAATGGTAAAATAGAAATAATGAAATTACTCACTTTCCAAACCATTAAGCCAATATCAAACTGTCTTCCATTATATATTGATCTTGGAGAGATTGCAGCTCCTATAGCAATCCTGTTGTTTGTTTGTATAAATCCCGAACATAGTAAATTGTAGCATCCAGTTGCTTGATACGCGTCCGTCTATCGAATTCAAACATCAAATGCTTGTAAGATACTAAGATTTAAATGAAAAGAATGAACTTAGAAACAAAGAAAAACATGCAATACTTACAGTCCAATAAGTGAAGAATCTTGGATAATTGTCACCATATAACTCAGGACTAACCTGAAACAAAACTTACATTCTTATTATCAGTAACAGAAATTCAACATTCTTTAACATGTTCATAAACATTTTGAAATAAATATGAACATACCTGCCATCCAGCTTCTATTGTATTAAGATCATTACCAAATGATCCAGCAATAACCCAAATTTGTGACAAGCTGAATTCATATTGATCTGTTACTCTTGGTGTCCAAACATTTATATTTGCTTTTGCGCCATAGTATTGTTCACCATTTACAAAAACAACTGCATGCTGCAATGAAAAAATTTCTGTGTAATCATTTTGATGTCATTTTTTGGTACATATAGCTAGAAAACTTTTGTGAGTGGTGTCCCTTCAATATTCAAGTTTTGAAACTCAAATGTTGAAAATTTTAAGTACTAATAATCTATGTCTGAAAATAAGTGTGTCGATGTCTATGTCGGACTCCTCACACTCTAAAAAAATTTATTTATTTATTCAAATTATTACTGGTACAGTATAGTTGTAGTCGCATTTAAAGTGTCAGTGTTTCATAATAGTAATAATTTGTAATTACCTCATGACCAGACCCTGATGAGTCTCTCCGAACACCTCTTGGTTTTCTTCCAAATCTTCTAACAGAACTTGCTCTTAGAAAATCTTGTTCTGTTGTTCTTCTGATTGGAACAGTTCCTTGAGGACATGTTTCACCAGAATCAGTCCAAAGCTGAAAGTTATATGTTGCATTTTCTCCATTGTTGTTGTTGTACCCTTTTGGCCTTTCTGGTGGATCCTGTAAACCTTAAGCCTCTTACTCTCAAATTCAATTCAACCACTTTATTTTAAATAAAAGATACCTTAAAAGTCCTTTTACAAGAGAAAGTTAAACATGTTACATTGGATGGAAAATGAAATTAATTACCAATGGTTTTTGTCCTTTGAGTTTTGGATGGTCAAAAGCTGGTTGTTGATGAGATATAATACAATCTATCAAATCTCCATCTGGACTCTGCAACAAAAGTAAAAGAATTTAATTCAAATCACTGAATCACAAGAAAAATACATCAATTCAGCACTTGTCGTTTCTATTCGTTTTAAAAAAATATTTTAGAAATAAAGAAAAATAAAATGCCTTAATTGTCTTGACGGGAGGCTTGTTGATCTTCTTCAAGTGAGCTCTGATTCTGTTCAAGTTACGCAATGCGAAATCTGGTCTAAAAGTTTGGTTAACATTGTTGGTGTGAGAGATTAATTGTGATGAAGTTGAGTTTGAGAGAATGGGGTGTGACAAAATAGGACTAATAGAGGTAAAAAACAGAAGCAAAGTAACAAAAACATGTAGAATAGGTGGTAGATTGTTTTGGGAAGTGGAAGAAGACAATTTGAGAGAATGATTTAGTAAACTTGTTTGTTCTGAGACAAGATGATTTTCTTGTTTGCATTGGTGTTGTCTTGTTGTGAATTGAGGTGAAAAAAAAGACTCTTTCATGTGTTTTTTTGTCAAGGAAACTGAATAATATCCCTTCATGTCCATACAAAACAGAAGAACAATTCCAAGAAGAAAGCCTACACCAAGTTTGTTTTGAAACTATAAACAACCCTTCTATTCTAAATGGTCCTGTCTAGAGAGAGAAAGAGAATAAGAAAATATAATGGTTTTAATATGTTGCTCCCCACACCTTGAAAAACTTAAGTACTAACACCAAACAAATAGACCCACACCCTGTCACATTTTCCAAGATTTACTTTTTATTTACCCGGCTTCTGAGTAAAGATAAAAATAAATTGAGTCGAATTAGACTCTGCAAAATTTGAGTCTGGTCTGTTGAAAATTTTAAAGTCTAAATCTGATATTTGGTCTATCAAAGACTTGTTTTTAAGTCTGAGTCTGGTCTTTTCGAAAGTCTGATTGAACTATTAACCTACATAAAAACTCTATTTTATTTAAATATTTTTTAAATAAACAATTTAACTAATATTAAAATAGACTAACAAATTAAAAGATTAATTAGACTAGATGCTTATTTGCATTGACTTATTCAAATTTATTTATCAACATATATTTTTTGATACTATTTGTT